AGGCCAGAAGCCAAATGGTTATTTCTCTAAAGCTCTGGGGGTGCAGGGTGTACATTTCTATTCTAGAAAGTTCCCTGCCCTCCTTACTCTGGCCTTTTTTGCCCTTAACAGGTAGGGATTACTCTTCATTTTTCCCACAAAGAGTCTGTAGAGGGGACAAGGAGTGTTCTTCCTTCAGAGACAAAAATCTCCTCCTAGTGTAGCTTCTACCTGGCTACAAAGGATTCTACCTGTTGATTTTTAACTGCAAGATTAGGAAGCTTCATTAGCATCTGTTGTCTTCCTTCCTGATGAAGGGAACCTGCAGAGCAAGGAGCAAGTCCATCACCCTGCCATGGCTCAGTGTTTGAGATAACATCCCTCCACCCCACTCCACCCAGACCCCTGAAGGCCAACATCCTCTAACTAAAGGAACACCAGCCTTCCAGTGATTCCCAGCCCTTTTATGTTATCTGCCTGGAGACAGGAAATAAAGCTTTTGCTTCGGACTTCTCATCTGGAAGTGCCCAGAGGTAAAAATTAAAAAGCATTAAGATTACTCACCTGCTTTTACAGGTGAGATGCATTAATATGCTTGTCTTTTCAAATTAACATACAACCCAATAAAGGGTTTCAAAATGTCTCTAAATAAAATACAAAAAAGGGCTGGAGATGTGGATCAGTGGTTGAGAGTGCCCCTGAATTCAATCACCAGTACCAAAAAAAAAAAAAAAGTATATTGAAATAAGAAAGTACCAAAAAAAAAAAAAAGTCACAGGTATATATTAATAAACACTTTTATTGGAAAAGGGTATCTTACATAAAATCAGGCAGGAGTAAACAAATTATCTTGAGCATTTAATTAGCATTTAGAATAAAAATGTGAGATAGATAAGACCATTTTCTGCTAATGAATCTTATTAATGTCAATAATAATAATGTAAAAGCCTTCTTATATGATTAGCATTCTACATGTAATCTTATATAGTCTTTATAACAAATGTATACCGTCTGTTCTGTTCTCCATTTTGTGGAGAAGATAGAGGCCCCATTTTACAGATAAGAAAACAGAGGCTCAAAGAGGTTGAATAATTTGACCAAGTCATCTAGCTCCTTAAGTATGATTCATATCAAATACAGTTTTATCTTATGTCAAAAACATTACTTTACCCTCCATATGCTATACTGTGTGGTGTCTGCTCTAAGCCTAAATTTCCTTTGGCTAATTTTGACTATAGAATCGTAGAGATCTGGAAATTCTTGACAAACTGCCCCCCACACCTCCACACAGACACGCAAACACACTCCCCATCTACTTTATTCTGGATGGAAAGAAGAAGAACTTTTCTAGATGTCACTAATGCTAGATGACTGGAACAGAGTTGAATGACAGCAAAGCCAGAAGAATGACCCAAAGAAGTTCTTAGGATCTAGGACAGTTGTTTGGGCTGACCATGAACCCAAGCTCCTCAGGCTCCGGCCACCGTTCCTTCTGAAGGCCTGTGGCCCTATCATGCTTGCGCGCCACATCCATTGCAGGGTTCAGAACTCCCTGACCTGGGAAGTGCCTCTGAATTCAACAGCACCCAGAGGTGCTGCTCAGCTCCATTTCACACTGATCAGTGCTGGGGCAGAGCTTTCTGATGTGAGGCAGGAGACATTTTTAGGCTTCCAGCCAAAGTTGGCTAGGATGATGGAGAGCCTCTATGAAATCGGTAGACTTGACACGATTTAGAAATGATTGCCAAGTGGAATGAAACTCAATACTTTATTTAAAAAACAGCAACAGGGCATTTTGAAGCAGAAGGGCTCTTTGACTCAACAAGTACCCTAGAGACTCCAGTTTTTCAATTCTGGAACCTCAAATATTAGAGCTTACTAGGAGATAAGACCCCTTCCTGAATGCAAGCTTCTTAACCAGAGGTTAGCAACTTGTGGCCCTGAGGCAAAATTTAGGCCCTGTGGTTATTCTAGTGTTAGCCCAATAGTGATAGGGATTTCAAGCTTTGGACAAATTCTAGAATCAGGCCGCAGTGGGCCTTCATTCATCCAGCAATGAATTCAGAGAGGAGCCCCGTGGGAGCTCTCTCCCGAGAGGGAGGCTCCATTTATTTTTACCATTATACTTCCACCAAGAATTCGCTTCCATTGAAGATCCGCCTGGCTCCTGGACAAATCTGAGCCTGAGAGGCTGCTCACTCGCCATGATTGGCAAAGGAAAGCGAACTCCTCACATTGCTAGTTACAATGACAAGAGTTAATAGGCAACGTGTTCACTCAGAGCTTTTATTATTTTTCTCAAGAAAAATTTCAAATCATCAGAGGGTGCAGTGGCACATGCCTCTAATCCCAGTAGCTTGTGAGGCTGAAAGCCAGCCTTAGCAATTTAGCAAGGCCCTAAGCAATTCAGCAAGACCCTCCCTGTCTCAATAAAATAGACAGAAGGGCTGGGGATGTGGCTCAGTGGCCAAGTACCCTGAGCTCAATCCCTGGTACCAAAGGAAAAAAAAGTCAATTAGTGGACAAAAACACATTTGAATTCCAGCCTGTCAACATCATATGTATTTCAATTCGTCTGGGTTCGGTGATATACTTTTAAATAGCTCAATCTAAACTAAAGTCAGTAAAAAGGTCAAAATAAAAATTTTAAAAAATCTATTGATGAATGTATTATTGCTGACTAGCATTTGTTTTAGGGTTCTTAAATAAACAAAACAGAAGCAAAGTCCCAAAACTTGGCCTTCTTTTAGTCTTTTTAAGTTGAAGAAAGACATTTATGTAGGGCTCTCTTGGGTAGAGTTGTATTTGGGTAATGGACAGTGGTAACAGTGGCTGGAAGTTTGATATAACTTTTTTTAAAAAATTTTTGAAAACAGATTTTTTTTCAAGATTCTCTATTAGCTACTAAATAATTACCAAGAAGATTAGATTTTTATACTGTTCCAATGAGTAATATCTCCTTGAAGCAATCCACTCATTCAACATTTATCACCCCTCCAGGGGTACAGTTTCAATACAGTTTGAGATCCATGATGTTTCTGGGTTTCACTTTAGGAAATGCATTTATAAAGAAATATTGGATATGGTAAGGAACTGAATATGACTGAGCCAATAAAAACTATTTTACATAATAACAACACAGCAAATGTTGGTAAGTATTAGTATAATGACATTAGTAAACATTACTTGTGCATAGAAAAGTCTGTTTATAACAGACCTAATTTCTTCCTTGCTTCTACCCTGAGTGGTAGGCGGACAGAGGCATTATGTATCTGAGGGTTTGTGACTTACACAGCCCACAGAACTAGGAAGCAGGGAACCTAGGGCTGTATCTGAGGAGTGCTGTCTGATCTCAGGGCCTTGCTTGACATTTTTGCCACCTCAGCCCTAAGGAACTGTCAGTACTGTGGGCTGTTAGGAAGAAAAGAGATAAGTGCAGCCCAAAAGATAACTATTGTTTTCTGTGCCTGGTTTTTTTTTGGGTACAAAATATAACATACCACTATTGTTTTATGCTGCTTGGTACTGGGAGGTCTGCAGATCAGGCACAGAACATTTCAGTTTAGTTGAGATTTTTCTCTGTCCTTGTGGGGAGTGAAGCTGAGTTTCTCTGATGAAATGCAGAACAGCTGCTCACTTCTGGGAAATAACCACAGCCCACAATTGAGCCCGATAAGAACTCAGAAAGAATTGACTTATTTTGAGCAAAGGTGTCATGAGCTCACAAGGTAGAGGTGAAGCTACAACCAGAAAGTGGGCAACATTCTTGTGTTGGAAACACAGTGGCTCCAGCTTTAAAAATCCGAAGACACATAGATGCAAGGCAAATGAGCACACATTGATGCTCACTGTGAACAGAAAACCAAGAGCGATAAAATTAAACAGGTTCTTAAGACAAGAAAAGGAAATGATCAAAATAACCACCAAAGAACAGTAAAATCTAAATCTAGCTTTTTCTTTCCTTCCATTGACATGCTGATATTATTGAAACCTTGTATCAGTCATTTATAGAACTGTAGATCTCTTGGGTTGAGCAGTAAAAGACCATGGCAAAACTTCTTCCAAAGGAGGTTCCAGGGTGCAGGAGTGCAAATCCATACCCCTGGGGAAAAATGTAGCGATGGTAGGGTTTGATGTCAGCAAGCTGCTAGGGGATTCTAGTCATGTAGATGTGAGCACTTCATGATTCTAAGCTCTAGTTCTTAAAATGCAAAACTGCAATACTAATCCAAAGCACCATTTTGAGGAACAAAGACATAATGAGCAGAGTGCTTTAAAAAATAGTGAGGGTTAAATAAACTCTGGCTATTATTTTTTCCACACGAGCTTTCCTAAGCTCTCCTATACTGCTAGAGGCATGTGGTTTAAATAAGGAAAACATATGACAGAAAGCCAGATAGGAATAAGAGGATCCCAAACTCTGGCAAGAAGTTAAGAAGTTAAGTAATTTTTCCAGCATCGCTTAACTATTAGAGCTCAACGAAAACCAGGCCTGTTTTATTTCAGAACTCCTGCTTTTTCCTACCTCATTATGCTCCAATAAATGAGATGATCTGTAAGCAATTGAAAGGTGATAATTACATCTATGATTTCCTTTGCTTTCAAGTGTCACATCTCAGCTATATTACCTTTGTGCCCATGGATAAAGGCCTACCTGCTGTAGCAGTGTTGCGACCTGGCTTGAATACACCCATCCTCCCCTGCCTTCATGCTTTGGTCAGGGAAGTGGGGCAGGAGCTGTACAGAACCCTGCAGCCCCACCAGGTGAATACAGGACCCAGAGCCATCAGGCTAATCCTAACTTGAGCCACCTCTGGTGAAGGCACTTTGCATCACACTTAGCCACACACTTTACATCACATCCAGTGAGGAATGAAGTTACTATTTCAAAACCCAGATGGAGAATGTAGTTAGGAGAGTGGATATAGGATTTACTGTAAAAGCTATTTCTTATGTACGTTTTCTTCCCCACATGGTGGGAAGGATACGTGAGAGGGAGAAAATATTCAAGTAAATATGGTATGGCGGTAAGAGTCTGTAATCTGAGCCTGGTGTCTCAAGGGAAAGTTCTTAGCTGTGTGGCCCCTGGGCAAGAATTACCCCATCTTTATCCCAGTTGCTCTCTCCCAGGCTTGGCTTGGAATTCCAGACAGAGGGCTTTTTTTAACCCCTCCTCTGCTTCCTTTTCTGCTTGAGTGCTGCTGCTGCTGCTGCTGCTGCTGCTGCTGCTGCTGCAGGGTAATCACTCTTCCTGTTTTGGTTAGTTTGGTGCCTCTGACTGTATGTAGGAGGGCAGTTCTAGAAAATAGGTAGGAAAGGACCAAGTGCGCATTCTAACATCTGAACTATCCGGGCCACTGTCAGTAAGAGACATCCTAGTTTTTCTGGACGTGGCCGAAATCAGCTTACTTCATCAAGGAGTCTAAATTGAAGCCCAGGGTTTAATGACTAATTAAAGTCACCCAAGTCCCAGCAGGATGTGCAGAGTCACACATTAGAGCTGGGATCTCAGAGCAGTCAAGACTTGCATGAGTTGCAAATGTGGTCAGTGGAAATGAACTCTCAATTCAGCTCCGCAGCACGTGACTTCCTACTTCTGTAAGGTACTTCCAAAGGACTTCCTCTGTAAAACCAGCCTGAGTCCCGGGAGGTTTCCTTCAGCCCGTAGCTAAGTTTACTTTCAGCCAGGACAGAAGTTTTCCCTGAGATACGGTGTTAGTTTCCTTTTCTTTCTTTTTTTTTTTTCTCTTTCCTCTGCTGTTGCCAGCATGCAAGGATCTCGTGGCTCCTGTCCGTGATCGGAAACTGAACACAGTGGTGCAGATCTCTGTGATCCACCCCGCGGAGCAGAGTCTGATAAGATACTCCAGCACTGAAATTGTGGAGGTGAGCATGCTGTGTGCCTGCATTTCTCTGTCTCTCTCTTTCTCTCTCCCTTTCTCCCCTCCTCACCCTCCCACCTGCCTCCTGTCACCTTTTGAGCAAACAGCTCAGGGTCTGTAGCCATGCTGTTACTGTCCTCTGTCATTAAGGAACGCCTACCTGAGGTTAGTAAGCCTGCACTGGTAACTCACCAGAATAAACACAGCGGGAAACTTAACCTTTTTCAATGAAAGATTGTATTTTTCTTCCGAAGATAGGAAAGTTTCTCCTTTGAATCCCCAAATAGACATTAGAATGGAGAGAGGGGGAAATATATAGAGAGATTTTAAATGAAAGAGAAAGAACATTTATTTTAGGGAAGAGTTGTAAAGTACCCATAGAAGTTCTAAACAGGGTAAGTGTTTTTGCTCTTTTTTTTTTTTTCCCCTGTATTCTTCAGTCCGATTGTGGAAACTTTAGATTCTTTGCTGTGTGTGTATTTTTCAAAGTCCAATGCTTTTTTCAAAGAAAGGTTAGGTGATTGATTTGTGAAACTGTAACGTTTCCAGGCTGAAGGTGTAAATATTACTCATCCGATGAGAGATTTCCTATTTACATTTATTGTTACTAATATGGCCTTCAGAATGTGTCAAGAGGAAACTCGTTATTGTGCTGGATCAGATTCAAAAGAGGAAGTGTTTCCCTTTTGATTATTTTGTTCGGATCACGTATTTCAGGACCTTAGTGAAGAGAGGTACTTCTGGGCACATCTGGAGCTGGGGAAAGTAGACTCTAAACTCCTTCAGGTTTGCTTGTTTTTCTTAGACTTGTGAGCTGCGTCTGTTTAGAACCAGGAATTTCTCTGTAAGAACTTAAGCAGCCTGCCCCAGACCTGGCTGGCTCAGAGCTGCCCGTCTGCTTTGATGCGGTTGGCGGAATAAATGATTCAGACCAGTCACTTCTATAATAGGAATGACCCAGATACCCATGCAGCCCTGAGTCTGCCCTTTGAAAACCTTAGGTTCCTGTGCCAGTGTAATGTATAGTTCATGTTGCATTTAATTAACAAAAATAATCTTATTCATCTAAAGATAGCTTGGCTAAACTTGTAAAATTGTTGACATCCAATTTTTTTCCAATCATTATTCTAAATTAGTAATTTTCAAAATATTACCAAAAACTTAAAAGAATTTATTTATTTATGAAATTCCCTTTGCCCCATTTTTTACTGTGATAAAACACACATATCATAAAATATACCACTTTAAACATAAAAATGATTTATGTTTGCAAATTTCAAAATTTTATATTTGAACACACATTGCTATTTTTGGCTGTTTTATTCACTTAAGTGTTTGACACCATAATAAGCAAAAAGTATTTGTTGAGTAAAAGAATGGATAAATGAATGAATCGTGTTGGCTTTCAGAAATTTCTGTAGAAAATTGCTTTATAGACCCCAAGCAAATATTCCCATGATATTCAGATATGTATGTTTATGTGTATATATACATAATTTAGTGTTGGATGTCAGCTCCTTAAGATTAAATCTTGGGGCATTGAAATATTCTGTATATTGCTTCCTGAGCTAGTTATTTCATAGTCCCCAATCTATCGTATTTAAATTTTCTTTCATTAAGTTTTTAAGTTGGTCTAGGGAAAAAAAAAGGTCACAGCTGATCATTTAAAAACAAGCAGATCCTCTCAGAGCATGGCTTTCAGTTGAATCATAGCAAGGGAAAAAATGAACATCATAAGATTACCAAATGGCTGTTTTTGAGAAAATAACTTCATGTTAGTTTTATCAGTCACTATCTTGGATTATTCACATAAATTATAGGTTATAGCTATTAAATATATTTTAAATGGACTGACTGCTGGCACATTCTGCATATAATGAAATAAATTGTTTTTCATGTCTCATGATTAGCAGCTCCGACAGTGATACAAGTCTATCTACCATCAACAGCTGTACCAGTGCTCTGGGGCCCTGGGTCTCCTTGTTGCCTGTGAGCAACATTTGGCAATTCAGATCTGTCTTCTAATAGAACTATTTCCTAGAAAAAGAGCCTCAGACACACTTTCTGCATTCTCATGTGTCACCGCGTGTTGCTGACTGCAGTTGCTGCCTTATTGGATACAACTTGTCTGCTTGTGTGTTTCAGGGGACAAGAGACCCACTGTTTTTGACTGGTGTCACATTCCCATCCGAGTATCCCATCTATGAAGAGACCAAAATAAAACTAACAGTCTATGATGTCAAGGACAAGTCTCATGACACTGTAAGTACTTGTGCTTCTTTCTTTCTTTAGTAAAAGAAGGAGTTAGTTATGCTTTTTCAAACTACTGGACTTTGGATACAATTGGCATTTTTCAGAGAGGGTATTTGTACTGCATTCATGCTTGTCTTATGTTTATAGTTTGCTGGGTGTTTGTCAAATTTGCTTGGTTTATTGCCAAATTGGCAATTGGTTTCAGAGCAGAAGCTTTCAGAACAGATTTTTCTCTTTTTTAGGAAAGCTGACTTGATCTCTTGGTTTGCATTTTTGTTGTTGATGTTGTTTAGAGCTAAGTGGGTGATAATGTGGCCAGAAAGCAAATAGAAAAGATTTAATAATATTTAAAAACTTTCAAGATATTGTAATTATTCTAAAGGCATGGATTGACAACATACCCTACTTTTAAACTTTATTATTCTTTTAAATACTGTAGATAAACTTCTTCTCTTTTCCCTGACATTTTTATTGGCACCAAAGCTAACAGAGAAAGTATTGGGAATCACTAGGCAGAAACTCTAATTGGCCTCTTTACATCAAGGCCATGCAACGACCCAATGGTCTTCTGTCCCAGATACTTCAGTCTTCCACCTGGCTTGAATTTCTTTCCAACTGAATCATCTCTCCTGGTTAGACAACAGGGTACCAAGGCACTATCCCTAGGGGCTACTCTTAAAACTCCTGGACAGGACAGAATGCTCCTGGGGAGATATTGAAAAGAAGGAAGAAGTACTTTCCTTTATATCTGTCCCCTTAGAATGAACTTTTGTGTTGTCAGGGCAGGGAAACTATGGAATCATCAATGGTGGTCAATAGTGAAGTAAGAGACAGGAAAGGCTTTGATGGCAGGTGGGGACTTTGATAGAAGCTAAGGGATACTGCCGGGCCTATAGAAGAGCACAGTGCCTCATGCAGGGGAAATTTGCTTTAAACACTGCCCATACTGAGGCATTTCTGTTTGATCCATGGTAACTTTTACCCGTCTTTCCATTCTTCACTGGTAGGTGTATGACACAGGTAGAAGGAACTTCCTTTCTGCCCAGTGCTGGGGATATTTAGTAATGTATACTGAAGGGATTTCAACTCATCTTAGCCCCAGAAAAGATCACTTCTTCAAAATGGTAGAACAGAGTCTCATTTCAACACACCACAGGAACATGCTATAGAAATAGGCATGGCGGTCTGGTGGGTTTGTAAGAGGGCAGGTTCTACAGTGACACTGGGTGGTTTTGTGTCCCTTACCAGCTTTGTGACTGTGGGAGAGTTAATTTCCAGTGCTGCTGCTTCCTCTTTTATAATACTCACCTTGGGAAACTGTTATATGGGTGAAATAAATTCATACACATAAGCTGTATAGAAGACTGGGGCTGCAGCTGCTGCTGCTGTTGGTATTGCTGTTGGGCTGCTGCCTGACGGTGCCTCCGAAATAGTAAAAATCAAACAAGGGACTCTCTACCAATGTCTTTTCCTGTATTTACTAACTTGGTCATAAGTGGTCCCACATTTGTTGTTTCTGACATCTTTGAAAAAAGGGCAAGAATTTGGGTTAAAACCACAACTGAAAAATATTTGTTTGGGAGCTTTGTCTTTTATTCTCAATTTGTGAGATAAATGTGGAAAAGTGGTTGACTGTGAGTGTGGCTCTGGACCTGTTGTGACAGAAGTTCTCCAAAGCCCTCACGTATGGCTGGTTTTGAAACTTCCAATCAGAGAAGAGAGAAAGGGAGAGAAAGGGAGAAAAATCACGAAGTTGGGGAGGAGGGAGCTCTGGGTCTTCAGAAAGGGTGATAGAACTGTGCAGAGGAGGAATAAGCAGAGAATGACCAGAAGGAAAGGGAAAGCAAGCAGAAACGACAAGATTTCATGTTCTGCAATGCTCATGGTTAAGTGCAATCCTCCAGCAGCTCCAGGGTATAGGCAGGACAGACAATGTGAAAGGGCCAGAGTTATAGGCATACACCATGCTACACAGCTGGTGATATTGCCCTGAGCACTTGGTTTTGTTAAGGATTTAGAAATATCCATGCTCGAAGTATTAAATACTGAAGGTATTTGTATTCCCTTCAAGTCCCTTCATTTAAAATGTGCATGCATATTAATGCTCCAGAGATAAACAATTTGCTTACTCATTAATTATGCTTTTTGTTGACTCCAGTTCTGGAAACTAATTATTTGGGGTCTTTTAAAGACTTTTTTCCTTGATCAGAAGTGTTATCACATGAAAGTATTGGACGAACTGGAATCCCTGCTGTGAAATAAAATTTTTGAAATTTGAACATACTTAAGAAATGCAACTGGCTTTCATTTACCAAGTGCTGTTAATTAAGGCATAACCTCTTCCTTAAAATAGCTAACAGTTAGCTCCAGTGATGGAAGTGTAAATAGAAACACAGTTCATTGATATGCTAATAGTCCCTGTGGACTGGTAGTCTTTATCCTGGAATTTTTCCCCCTGAATTCTTACTTTTTCCTTGGAGGTGGGTGGCCCGGAGAGGAAAAAAGGATTTAAAATACAGCTATTAATTGTAAGCACTTAAAAGCCCAAATGCTTGAAGATCATAATACTTTTAAGGTATAAGCAATGAGACTCTGAATTATGTTATTTTAAAAAATAATGTTACATGCATGCCTTTAAATGTCTTTTAACTGGCTGGTTCTTGCAAATCATTGCTTATACTACACTGGCCCATAACCATCAGATCTTCTCTACTGGTTGATTGCCAATTAGTTAAGTCCAATGACTAAGTTGCTTCTGTTTTCCTATTGACCTTATGATTACTTAGGATTAATTGGGCAAATAAATATGTTACTTTACCCTTTCAAATTCGCTTACATACATACTAGTCTTAGATATTTTTAAAGAGAAGTAATGACTTTTCCTCTGTGTCCTTGACACAGCAACTACTTTGCTAACTACTTATTGTTCTTGTACACTTCTAAAAATCCAGACCTAGATTGATCATCCTTGGTTACTTTAGTAGAAATGCAATTGATCATCATAACAAATGGGAAGAGTCTAACTGTTGATTTAGAATGGCTTTCCTTTCCTCCTACTACATCCTTCATCTTTCAATTCTGTGCTGAGTCCCTCTCTGAGGTGGATGGATAGAAAAGGCTTGGCAGATGGAGGTGAGTCGAGTTCTGGGGGCTATTAGCATCCTTAATAGGATTCAAGTGACATTTTGATTATTTTCCTCATTATGAGGGAATCATTTTTTTTTCAGGATGGGCTGCTCCAACATTCAGCTTTTTGGTGGGGTCTTTAAAGCCTGAAATTAAAGCCCATGGCTGGAAGAAGAAAGCCCAAGTTCTTTTCAGTGAAGTTGATGTCTGGAGATTTAACAATTGTACATCCCACTTCAAATCTCCTGGAAACTGAAATGTGGACAAACATGTTTTCAGAACATTATTTACAGTCTTAGGGAGTCAGGGTGAGAATTTGAGGTTTTCCCATGTCACAGTGGAAACTTCAGAACAAGGAATAACTTAGAAAGCAAAGACTAGCACTATCAAAATCTGCCCCTTTCCTCCTTCCTCCCATGCAAGTAGATATTTTTAAAGGTAGGACAAGGCTCTTTCAGATCCCCACTGAGGACAGCCAGCCATCAAAACTGCAAACATATGACTAGGTTACGAAGTTGTTTTTGCCCATCCTTGAAATGTGAATTTCTGCTCTGTTTTGCAGAAGTGCACATTGACCCTGTTCTTTTTACTCTGGGGGTAAATAGATGTTTGTTGTATCCTCATTAACTTATAGGAAAACATCTAGATGCCAGTAGACACTGAACATTTCTCAGGTAAGGATATATACCTGGAGATGTTTTTTATTACCAATTGCTAGCAACCCTCATTAGAACCTTTTAGAAAAGTGAACTTCTCAAGATTGGGTGTAAATTTATTGAATTTTGTGTGTTATATGCACAAGGCACTCTGGTTATGATATGATTTCCTAGACAGTAGTATCTAGTTTACTGTTTTCATTTTTTTTCCCCTAGGGAAAATAAAAGTATTTTGTGTTTAGAATAATTTGACTTTGCTTGGTGTTCTAAACTGGCTTCTGAAGAACTTTAAGTCCTAACTATGTTTGTTGAGGTTTAAATTCCGCTGGCTGTTTTTCCTCTTGATCTGCATGACATGAAACTGTGAGTGAGGAAAAAGAAATTGAGATTTCCAGTCACTAAGTAAATACCAAACACTATGTTTAATATGTGATGCAGGGTTTCCTCTTTAACCCCCATGTAACTCCTTTGAAGAAGGTGTTATTATGCCCATTTTCAAGATGAAAGAAACTGATATTCTGAGATATTTCAGCCAGGTCAGAGATCCCTCTTATTTTTTTCAGCCTATGTGATGGCACACACATTGTTGATAGGTTTCCCTTCACTTTTACCCTACAGTATAGCACCTTTACTTTAGCTGATATTTTGAAACACTCCCTTTATTTGGAGTTTAATAGTTGATTGAGGAAAAAAGCCAGTATTTAAGTGTAGGGAAAAAGATCCATACCCTAAATATTTAAGCCCTTAAACATGTATAATTTAATTTCAGATGTTCAAATAAAGTTTATAATGAAGTGGCCAACTCCTATTGATGGAAAAAAAATGTCCATTAATATTGTGAAATGCCTCAATTTATGGCTCAAATTTTGCTTTCCGCTTCCTGGCTTTGTTTTTCCCTTCCCTATGTTCTGTGTGGTCTTGAGCTTGGCCATGTGCCCTGCCTTTGCCTTTTGGAAGCTCCTGTCTCTGTTGTCACTTGATCTGTGATGGGAGTTACCGATTCTATGTAGAAGGAGCTCAGGTTTCTTAAATGTTACTTAGTCGCATTTAAGTAAGTTCACTTTCTTTCTACCTGCCGAAAAGTAGCATATATTTTTGCAAAGGCATATGTATTTTTTATTGAGGCATAATTTGCATAGAATAATATAGACAGATATCCAGTGTTTGGTTTGATGAATTTGACATTCACATGTGCCCAGGTAGACATTTTGTTTATTCCAGAAGTCC